AGGAGGAGGAGGAGGAAGCTGGGTTTTGTGCTGCTGCCGATTGTCCTGACAATGAAAAAAGGAAACAAACCTTTTCCCATTAATGAATAAAAAAAAAATAAAAAATCAGAATTCATCTTAAAATATTATCTTTGACCCACAAATCAGCCTGAGAGGAACAATGTTATATTTGTAAAATGTATCTAAAAACATACACCCACCTGCATGTGTTCTCTTCAACTTCTCTGCTGCTTCCTGCTTTCTTACAGTGCAGACGCTTTTCTTCTTGCTCTCTGCTTATCTTCTTTTTCTAAACCTAATTTAATCGACAGCCGGTCCTGGACATTTCCAAATCCTCAGGACTGTATTTTTTTGATAGATACAGGAGGTCTTTACTACGGTGTCAGGCAGGGGTCAAACGCTCTGCAACTGATGAAACGACATACATTTAGAAAAATGCTGCACAGCATATATAGAAATGCTGCACATTCAAACTATTCAAAAGCAAATGCAAACTACCACAACAAATGCAAAGACACAAACGCGCTGCAAAAGAAACAAACGCGCTGCAAATAGGCAAACAACTGCATAAGCATCAAAAGCGCTGCAAGTACAGAAACGAAACTTAAGTAAAAAAAACACACAACCAGAAATGTTCTATTAAAAAAGAACAATCTAGACAAGTCAATAATGAACAATTACAGGCCGATATCAAATGTTCCTTTTTTAAGTAAAATAATCGAAAAAGCTGTTTTTCAACAGTTAAATAACTTCTTGACACTGAGCGACTGTTTCGATGTCTTCCAGTCAGGTTTTAGACAAAATCACAGCACTGAGACAGCTCTGGTTAAAGTGTTTAATGACATCCGTTTAAACCTCAGTCTTAGTTTTACTTGATCTCAGTGCTGTGTTCGACACAGTTGACCACAATATATTACCCGACCGACTGGAAAACTTGGTGGGAGTTTCTGGCACAGCACTAAACTGGTTTGAATCCTACTTAAAGGACAATGACTTCTTTGTGTCTATAGGTAACTTCAAATCTGAGCAAACAAAAATTACTTGTGGAGTTCCCCAAGGTTTAATGTCTACATGCTCCCACTAGGTCAGATTAAAAACAATAAAATAAGTTATCATAACTACACAGACAACACACAAATATATATTACAATGTTGCCAGGCAACCATGGTCCCATAAAAGCACTGGGTAAATGCATAGAGCAAATCAATGAGTGGATGTGCAAAACTTTTCTCCAGCTAAACAAAGACAAAACTGAGGTTGTTGTTTTTGGAGCAAAGGAGGAGCGACTAAGAGTCAGCAATCAGCTTCAGTCAGTAAGACTCAAAACCACAGACCAGGCAAGAAATAAGGGCGTAGTGATGGACTCAGACCTCTATTTTAAAAGCCACATTAAGACAATTACAAAATCAGCCTACTATCATCTGAAGAACATATCAAGAATTAGAGGATTTATGTCCCAGCAGGACCCGGAAAAACTTGTCCATGCTTTTATCTTCAGTCGTCTTGATTACTGTAACAGTGTCTTTACAGGTCTGCCTAAAAAAATCAGTCAGACAACTGCAGCTGATCCAGAACGCTGCTGCTAGAGTCCTCACCAAAACCAAGAAAATGGATCACATCAGTCCAGTTCTGAGGTCTTTACACTGACTCCCAGTCTGTCAGAGAATAGACGTTAAAATCCTGGTGCTGGTTTATAAAGCGCTTAATGGTTTAGGGCCAAAATACATTAGTGACCTCCTGATTAATGAACCATCCAGACCGCTCAGGTCGTCTGGGACAGGTCTGCTCTCTGTCCCCAGAGTCAGAACCAAACACGGAGAAGCAGCGTTCAGTTTCTATGCTCCCTATATCTGGAACAAACTCCCAGAAAACTGCAGGTGTGCTGAAACTCTTAGCTCTTTTAAATCAGCTGCCTTTCATTAAACAATTTTAATAAGATTTTTAACTTTAACTCTGCACTGTAACTTTTAACTCTTTTTATGTTTTTACTTTATTTGTTTCAATTAATTTCATTTGAGTTATTTTTATTTGAACATATTTTCAGATTTAATAATTTCAGTGATTTTTTTAATTTTCTATTTTAATGTTTCTTTTCTTTCCTCTGTCATGATGCTTTTGATGTCTTGTGTGAAGCACTTTGAATTGCCTTGTTGTTGAAATGTGCTATATAAATAAACTTGCCTTGCCTTGCCTAGCAGTGTTGTGGTTCATCCGTCTCAAGATTTCAACAGTCAGGTCCAAGGCGGATTCCTCACTGTAACTCTCAATCATCCTACTGACGGTGTCCTGCCGGTCTGCATTCTCCAGATAGCCCTTAAGAATGGCCAGACATCCACTGAGCACCGGCTCAATGAGGTTCCAATGAAACCCCTTGAACTCATCAGCACCGAGCTCATCTAGAGTATCTAAGATCAGAGGAGGAACCTGCATTTCTGATCACAAGAGTGTGAAAATAAGCAAAAATAAGCAATTCAAAATACATTTCATTAATGTTGGGCAACTTTAGCTGAAAATGCAATGCAAATGCATTAAAAGGTTACGTTGTTTTAACCTTATTCCTTAAACGTATTCTTGTCAAATAAAATAATTATGGCACAAAACAAAACGTTAAGGGTGAAGAGCACAAACTTTAATATAACATTTTAAAATGTATGTATGCAATATGTAGCCTATTAGGTTTCTGTCCTTTTTCTGCCATTGCCTTTATTTGTGGTTGTACAGTTTATCACTTTATCTCTACCTGAAGGGAAGGAAAAACAACAACAAAAAAAGTCAATATGTTGTTACATGTAGAAATATGTGCATATCCGTTTAAAATAGTTCCTTTGCAGCCTTGTAAGATTTTGTGTAAGAAATAGGAATTAGGAAATCAATCTTTAAAAAAAAAAAAAAAATTAAATCAATGTCTGATTGTAGATTTTAAAAAGAAAACTAAACATCTCTGAAGAAGCATGGGGAAAATACTGTGAGTTTCAGTGGAAGATGACAAGTTCGATCTCATGGAGAACATTCGGTTGGAAGAGTCTAATTAGATACTTTATTACACTTGTTCAGAAATCTCATTATATAGACTCTTCTAGCTGCTGGAGGAACTGTGGTTCACAGGAAGCAAATCACTACCATCTGTTTTGAGCCTGTCCCTAAAATACACAGCACCAGAAGTGCAAGATCCACAGAGAATTAACAGATGTTTCCCTTAAATGGGACCAACTCTTCGTCGGTAACTGCATTTGTCCACAAAACTAAATACTTATTTGGAATCTTGAGCATTGCTGCCAGAAAGGCAATAACAAAGAAATGGCTCCAGCCAGTTACTCCATCGGTGAAAGAATGGTATGATGTAGTTTATGAAATATATATAACGGAACGGATCACTTTTTCTCTGAAGCTTCTGAAAAAGAAATTTCAGGACCTCTGGATTAAATGGGTGTTCTATATCTCCCCTAAACTCCCTTCTTTTGTTTAATCTGATTTTACTTTAGTTATAAAACCCTGTATGCTTCAGTTTTGTATTTGTTGTGGAAAATCACCCCATGTTTTACAATTTGTCTTTTTATTTGATTTGTTCAGTTCTATCTTTATAATTATTTATTAATATTATTATTATTTTTTCTATTTGATTTATTTTGTTCTGTATAAATTTACAAAAATGGGGAATCACTCTATTGTCTAACCACAAATGAACAATATATACAAATGTCTGTGAATGTGTGATTCGAAATAAATAAAAATAAATAAAAACTTGTGTACCGCAACAAAATGCAAGAGGCTACAATTATAATAAATGATGGAAACAATCGTGAAAATCACCACAGAAAAAACATCTCAATGACATGTCAACATCTCACTTGTTATGAGTTGACGCTATACAAATAAAAATTGATTGATTGATTGATTGATTGATGTCACGATAACCATGTTTTATGATGTTTAAGCATCTTTGAGTATAAACTCTTTTTTCCAATACAAGTAAATGTCTCACCGTAGCCGCTGCAGTGATGAGACAGACAGGTGAAGTCGATCTACTGAAGCAGCAGCATTGTGAGGTGATAAAACTACTTTTAGTTTCTAACTGCTGCACTGGAAATGAAATGATTGCAGACCACAAGAACACGTATATGTTCATTTTTACAAGAACTTTCATGCTTAGAGCTTTTTTTTCAGTTTCACTTTTAAAAACATGTACACTTACCACAACGAGAAATTCCCCCCCAAAAAATTGACATGTTCACAGGACAACATCTTTCTTTGTTAATAAAATCAAGTTTCAACAGGCTGTTTATGGAGATATTATGGCTGCAAAACTGGTTGTGAAGATAAATAGCTCTGCATATGCGTGAATAGATCCACAAATGTGTACACCGATCTGATCTGCAAATGTGACAGCCACATTTACAAATGTGTCTAAATACACATTTACAAATCGTTTTCCATAATTGACATCATCAGTATGTTTGTGTGCTATTTAAGTCTCATGAGTCTCGTTTTTTTAGCCAGAGTTGTAAATATTTATATGAGAAGTTGGATACACTTCACTTTCCTTTGAGAAAGGTCCCCATGGTAGAAACTTGCCAGTGGAAATTAACCACAACCCAAATCATACCGTGCTTTATCATTCTTTTCATTCTAAAATAGACCCATATCTTAATCAAATGAATATCATGCTGTACTGAACATTAAATAAATGTTTAACACCATTACACCATCACTCTTGTGAAAATGCTTTTTGACATAATTAAAACATGAAGGTACAATCTCGATTTTTAAACTTAAGTCGTCCCCTGCTAGCTTTAAAAAATAATTCAGGGTTGAGACACTTTCACTTCACTTTTCAGACCCACAAGCTTCGTCCATTTTTTATTTAAGGATATATAGGAGTCGATGAAAAATACATTTTTTTTTTTTTTCATAATAGAGTTATTGCTTGTTCTCTTTCACATTGCCAGGACTCACTGGGACACTTTTTGACATGACACCACTGTTAATACTTGCAAAAGCATTAAGGTTTGTTATAAATCATTTATTAGACCTCAATGCAGCTTAATAATGACAAAGGAAAAGGGTTTTTCAGTTAAAACATTTAATTGTAGGGTAATACTTACAATTAATGTCAGCCAAATCTTTAGAAAAAAATGCAATTTACCCTCAAAATATCAAAATTTGACATGGTTTTATTTATCTGAAATTTATATTCAATGTTTCTGTTTTACAGCCGTGGAGTATTGGAGCGATGACTGTACTTCCATTTGTTGCTGAAATTGACTTAGGAGCAGTACCAGGAGCCACAGCATCAGAGGAGGAGGTGGAGGTGGAGGGTGTAGATGTTTTTCCCTCTATAAAATGAAAAAATACAGCTTTAGAAATTAAATCAAAATGACATTTTAAAAACATAACAAAACTGTTAAGTAACGGATTTTGGTTGCTTTAAATTATAAACATCGACATCACCTGAATACAAGCTCTAGGTTTCCTGCTGCTTCGTTGTTGTTCATCTTCCTCAGGATCTCCACTGTGAGCCTCACAGCAGGCTCCTCCTCATGGTGCTTTGTCATTATGCTCACAGTGTCTGTCCGTGATGCCTTCTCCACATAGGACTTTGGAATTGGTTTCAGGTTTCCTGAGCTCTTCAAGGAGAGGTACCACTTTAGTTTTTTGAAGTCATCTTCGACTAGGTCTTCCAGAGTGGCCAAGAGCAGCTCTGTGGCCAGCATGTCTGCTCACTGATCTGTTAAAAGAGGGGAGATTAGTTTTAAACTTTTTAATATGGATGGAGGTCAATCAATGGATGGATGTACTTTAAAGATTCTAAAATGGGAAGTTATTTTTGTTTCAACAGCAGGTTATCCCAAGATTCAGGATGTTTATTGTCACTCTGAATGTGGATAAAAATGTGTGAAATACTTTTTTCAAGTTTACTCAAGTTTAATACAGGGCTGTATTGCAATTGTGCATTGAGTGTTTTATTCATTTATAAAGTCTTATGTCTGGAGGGAAGAAGCTGCTCCTCGGTCTGCTGTTGTGTGCTTTATGAGTCCTGTACCGCCAACCTGACGGCAGCAGGGAGAACAAGGCTGTTGGAGGCCTTGATGCAGCTCCTACAAGCTCACCTCAAACCCAGTCATGTACAGGGCCATGTGCCTCAGGAGGCTCTCTTTGGTGCCTCGGTAGAAGTCCCTGAGGATTTGGCGTCCCAGTCCACATTTATTCATGCATCTGAGGCAGTACAGTCTTTTCTGGGCTTTTGACAACCACGGCATGATTAGCCCTGTCTTGTCCTTGTAAATGTTCACTCCCAGATATTTAATCCAACTGTAATCCACAACAACTTCCTTGGTCTTAAACACTTGGGGGGCTATGGGGTTGAGGGCTATGGGGAACCGGTCATTAAGAATGCTCACCTTCTGATGTTTAGGGATGGGTGGATTGTATGGCTTTGAAACAGAAGGGGAAAGTCCTGAGGGAGAGAGACAGGTTCTGAGATTTTGGTGAATACACCTGCCAGCTGAAGGGCAGAGACTGTCAGGAGATGGCCCGGGAATTCTGTCAGGACCATTGACCTATAGAGTAATTCGCATAAACAACTGGCGGACATTAGCCTCAGTGTTGGAGAGTGATTGGTTGACCTTGTCTGCAGTGGTGGTGGGGTGATGATGTTACTATGGTTATTGAGTAATGTGCATCTTACATGTAAAAGATGAGACTAGTGAGTTGATATTAAAGTTTCTTAGGTAAATAGGAGATTACAAAATAACTCACACCAGTCAAATCTGCCTTTGTGGAAAAATGGCTTTCTTCTGTGATATTGCTGGGAAACCAAAGTTCATCAATGAAATTCAACAAAGAAAATTATCCGTCTAATTTACTGGACTATCGTCTGGTCTATACCATCTTCAGAAGAGAGGGCCCCCCCAACTGATTTTTGCCTCGGGCCCCACCATACTTTAGAATCGCCACTGTGCTTAATTGATACTGATACCTTAGTGACAATAGTAGTAATCAATGCACTTTTCCTATAAAAGGCAATACTTAACGGACTGGTTTGCATTTTTCTATAACAACCATCATCTCCTGGCACAGACAATCAGCACGTGTCACTCCCCTCTGCTGCCAGTCATAAAAATCTAGTTCACATTCTTTCTCAACCTCCACTCCCTTCTTCTTATGGCTTAAGTAGAAGAACTCGTCCGACATGAATTATTATATATCATGAGTTCATATTTTACAAATGATAGTTTATAAGTACGACGAGAAAAACCCTGTCAGATTTTTTTTTTTAATCTGGTGGTGCTCCAGCCCCAGCAGTTTTAAGGGCATGATGCGCCTGATCAGGATAGCCTAATGTGCTCTAAATTTATAAAGAGTTCCTTGAATCTACAGAGGCTAAATCCAAAAAGCAAATAAAGAAGCAGGATTTTCATCATCGGGCTATCATCCTGCTATGATGAACTCAAATATGATAATGAAGAATGACTTAGGCTACATGAAGTAAACTGACAGCTTCCATTAATTTAGAAAATCAACAGAAAGAACACAGGAAACTGTTACGTCATTATTACAACTCTCTCTTTAACTGTAGGCTAACTTTAATAATCTCATGAACGAGGTGTGGAGGGAGCGCTGCAGCAGTCGGCGCCACAGCAAATCTTTTAAATGTTTAAAAATTAAAGAAAGACTTACCGTGTCAGCAGTAGGATCTGAAAATGTCGATGTTGCAACTTCCAGTTTCAGCGGTTGTTTGCCCGCAACGATCAGTGCGAGAGAGAGAGAGAGAGAGAGAGAGAAAGAGAGAGAGAGAGGGAGAGAGAGAGGGAGAGAGAATAAATTGCAGTCAGTTCATTTCTTAGGAAATGAAACTAACACATTTTGGCCACCTGAGGGCAGCACAAAAAGCGTTTAACACACCACTGGCGTCCCCCCATTAAGTAGTTCGACAAATGTGATGACAAAAGTGGTTTTTTTACACACTGAGTAGCAATGAAGTGAAATAGGTACACAAAGTCGAGTTTTTCGCCTCCTGATTAAAATAAGTCAGATATTCTCTCTCCTTTATCTCTGTGGACTATCAGTCCATGCATATACTGTATGCCTATTTTCTGCATTTATATAAATAAATTCAATAAGAAATTACAAGGACTATGACTTAATTATTCAAATTAACAAATATGTAATGTGCTACACAAGCATGTAGGCCTACAACAATATAAAAGTATAGGCTATATTTATTGTAAAAATGTACATTTTTAATTAGCCTAAATTTGTACAAACCTGCTTCATTTATTTATATAGCAGGATTTTAATGAACAATAACTTGAGAACGTATTACCCCATGTGTGGATAATGTTTTATCTTGTGCCTTTACTGAGAAAACCATTGGGCCAAACTTGCTAAAATGACAAGTTTTAACATATCATTTAATAATCCCAAATACCTACAGGTACTATTAAGGTGCATGCATACCCAACACGCTTAACAGGTGAGGTATGTATCTTTAGATTGCGATGCCAGAGGAAAAAAGCACCCAACAGCTGCTAATAGTTCATATTGTTTTGAGCGAAATTCCTTTTTAACTAGGCCTATACATTTTAGTGGCAGCACTTATAAATAATTTGTTTTTAATTTTAAAAGTTGAAAGCTGTAGATGGTCACTAAACTAGAAAAAAACAAGGATCACAGGACTCATTGACTACTGACCTTTCGCCCTAACCTCTGGGGTGATGAAGTCCTTTGAGATAACACGTCCTCTTTCTGCTACTGTTTTGTTCTCTCCTTAGCTCTTCAACAGTCCATCTGTGTGTACATGTAGTTGCTTAGACACACAGACACTAGTGTGTAGTTGCCATACACACTAGTTCTTGCAGTCTGTGCTGCAGCTCTACGCTGTTATATTCTTGACCCTCCCTTCCTTCCTCTCTTGATATACCAGCAGAGAACGCCCAGGGTGGAATTCAGAGGCCAAAGCAAAGGAATGGCCCGATCATTAGCTTTAGACACACACAAAAGCAGCACAAACATACTGTAAACACCCACAGTTCCATAAAAACCTGAAGTACATCGTGTTTTCTCAGAAGAATCAGGACGCTTCACTGCCAGCATCACAGAGCTGACTGGACCTTGTGTTTGACAGAGACATCATATCAGCGGAGCAAAGGAAACTGATGAAGGATGAGTGCATCTAGGTGGCCAATCATACCTCTGCTTCTCTACCTGTTCAGCTCAGGTGAGTGAAATGACAGCTGTATGAGTGCTATGGTATACAGCAGATACAATGAGATGAAAGTGGAAACAATCAGGGTAGGGCAGATTAATGAGTTATAGTAATTTAGAAAAGATAACTTTTTGGCTTGTGAACTAAAAGGATAAAACTCAAAATCTCCAAATGATGAAAAAGCTTCTCTAAAGCAGCACAATTTAAAATATTTTACTTTTTTTTTTTTTTTTTTTTTTTTTATTTCTGTTGCTTTAGACATTACAGATCCGCTACTTTCCAGAATGAATGTGGGGATTTTCTTCCTCCATTTCGCTGACAGCTACGTCTATGAATAGATTTGTTTCATACCAAACTAGGAAATATAAAAATGAATGGTATAAACTGTATGAATGTAAAATCCCATGAAATAAGATCAATTGCTGAAATTCCCCATAAGAAAAATCTTAAAAAGTATAAATTACAACATCAGTATAATTAATAAAAGATCATAACACATAGGCATCTCTATATTGGTCCACTCTGCTCAATTACAACTTTTGTTTTTTTAATTTAGCATGTTTTGGTTAATTGTACTACTAATTTTTTCAGACCTTTACTTAATATTTTAAATGCACACAAATGAAGTTGTTCTTGCATCCCTGAATAAAAGTGAATCATGGAAATATGGCATTCAATCATACCACATTCATTTTGATATACAGAGGGCGCAGTCTACTGCAACCAAATGATTATCTTATTAACTTATTTTGCTCATTGGCATATGAGAAACCTAACTTTAAACTTTGATAGACCATTCTGTCGACACACCCACCCTCACACAGCGGTGGGCTACTGTGGGTGAGATCATCTGATAGGCAGGAGAACAAGCCCAGGACTCGTTGGAACAATGGTCATAGAAAAGAAGAGTGAGTTCTTTGACTTGGGCAGGGTGTCCTTTCCTTCCTCAGAGGAACACACTGGGTGTATTCAGTGGGCTACAAAACAATGGTTCTCAATAGATCAGCTTAAATGACTATTATTTTACGAGATGGCAAAATTCAATTGACCTTTGCCTGCATTATGTAAAAACAGAGATGACTCATGAGTTCATACAAATAGAGAGACACATTATGTGATTTCTGTATTAACAGTAAAGACTGCAGATACTCGCGTGAATTTTGCTGCTTAATTTGTAGGATTATGAACAGTGAGCGTGTTGTTAAAGCCTGTTATATCCTGCATATCAGCACTTTTGCTTTGTTAGATAAAATAGCACAACCTCATGTAATATTGCCTATAGGTCAGCTTCAATTGTACAGTGAAGTCCTTATTAAATATTACTACAAAAACAAAGCACTAGTATTTCTCCAAATTGTATCACTTGTGTACTTTATTTAATTTCCTACTTTTGTGAGCTGTTATAACAAATGAAGTTCCCCTTTTGGGGTGATCTTAACTTTACTCATAGAAAATATCTGTTTGATGCATTACAGTGAAACTCTTCACTTTTTTTTTTTTTTACACATAACTTACACACTTAAAGTATATGGCTAAGTGTGTATTTTTTTTTCTCCCACTCTCTGACCACCCCTGTGACCTCAGCTACTTCATCCCCGGTTTCCATTTCCACATCTGCTCCACCTCTTCCATCACAAATTTCACCTCCCTCTCCCCTTTCAACCATGCTCCCATCTCTACTGTCTCCTTCTCTTAGTGTCACTCCACCCATCCCTTCCCTCTCCAGAAACAATGCAGAGTTGACAGAAAAAGACTGGTGCTCTTTGACAATTTCACCCTCAACCTTGGTGGTCAGGTATGTCAGGAATAGCTGGTGATTATTTAAATGACTTAATGTTATATTTTTACCAAATGACACATATTTATCTCATGTCTTCCTCCTTTATAGTAATTGAGAAACAGACTCCTCAGGAGTGCAGACGATTCACTCAGGAATCTGTTGAGGTGTATTGTATGAACCAAAGTTATGACATAAAGTGCTCTTGTCTATCGTGTAGCACTGGGCAGAGTGTTTTGAAGATACTCCTTTTGTTAAAAGGCTGGTGTTGATATCATGGTTTGACTTTCTTTCAGCACCTGCAAAAGATTTGAATTTAACTTTGCCCCATTTGTCCCCTATAAGAGTTAAGAAAACTTAAAATAAGTTTTGTACTAGAATCATAATTTTTTATTTTTCTTACCTCTGACTTGTTTTCCACTTTTTCTGCTTTTCTTTAACTGAATTACTGAATACTTGTGTTGAGTAAACTCTCCTGTTACAGGTTTGGGGATCCAGTCACAGCCAACTGCTCCCTGCTGGGTGCAAGGATGGGTTTTCTGTTTCTGGGTTGGACAGTCCCAATGGTAGGGGAATCAGCAGTCCCTTTAAGTATGGCTTGCATACCCTATAGGTTAAAGAGGAACTTAACACCCCATTATCTTGACACTCCATCCATACCCTCTCATTTCTAAACAAGATCACAAAACACTTTAGCTCCTTCCTTAACAGCAGCAACGAACTATCAATCTATCAAGAGCAATCTACTTCTCTCCAGCAGATTACTATGGCCTTCTTCATCAGGACAATGGTGCTGACTTGAATCTGAAATGTGTCTCTACCTCTCCCAGTGTGTACTGCCTGGTCATGGCCTCTTGAAGCAAACAGCATTACATCATCTGCATGAATTTGAGATGTTATCTTGAGCTCACCATGACGTACAATAATCATTTCATGTCCATGGTATTCCTCTTGAATCCAAGGCTTACTATGAGCTTGAAATGTATTCTTATCCCCGGTCATCATATCCAGATGTTGTGTCGAGGTCCCTTGAGGTCTTCACTGATGCATTAAGAACCCTTTAGCATCTGGATGACACACAGTAGGCTTTCAGACAACTCAGCTCTCATCTGAGGTTGTCAAATATCAGTGAGGGTGTGGTATCTAATAATTCAGCAGACTTGCTATGTTGGAGTTATCTGAAAGTCTGGTGTGTCTAATTATGATATTATGCATTATGCATCTGAGATACAGGGAGTCATTCAAAGCGTCTGTATTTAGAGACTTTTAGCCCATTCTCTTTTGTAGACACCTGTAATCAAAGTCCTCAGAGCATTGTTATCTAAAATGTTTTCCCTTCTAGAAAGCTCCTGAATCAACTCATCATCATTTTCTAGTCTGGAGTGTGGACAGGATGACCGAATGGGGCATCAAGCCTACGTGTTGGGTTGCATCTGATCAGACAGGACAGTGCGAATTAAAGCTCCCTCTGGTAGTCTTTAGTAAGTGTTTTTTTTCCTTCTTAAATGTTAAAAAATGCACCAAATTTACGAAGTGTGAAATTCAATGATCTGTCTCTACAGAACCTCCGGATAACGTATCCATCAGCTTTGTTAACCACACCGGGCCGATGCTCGAGGGTTGTCAATATACTCTGCAGTGTATAGTACAGGATGTCGCTCCCGTTGAAAAACTTACTGTGACCTTCTACAAAGGAGAGACAAAACTGGCTCCATTACAATCCATCAACACAAATACAACTCCAGTGACTGAGATCTTCACATTGAAGATCACTCCCACTAAAGAAGATGATGGAGTCCTTTACTGGTGTGAGGCCATGCTAGAACTGGGACCTGCAGGACCTCGGCATCCTCCAGTGGTGAGGTCACAAAAGCTCACTGCCACGGTCCTCTGTGAGTGAAATTTGAAAACATTTGGATTTCAAAGTCTTGTATGAAACAACATTTTATAATTTTCAGAAAGCAGGGCTTCTGTATCCTCCTCCCATTGATTAAGAAAATTCATTATGCTTTGTAGAGCTGCATGAAGCTGATGTTCATAGCTTGCTGGCCATTTAAAATCTTATTGGCCATACCTCTAACAGTCTTAAGAATTGGGCTGTGTTTTAATTTAGCATCCTTCAAAGGATCTAGCCTTCACGGCTTGCATTGACTGCTCAGTCCAAACTGAAATGACAAGAGTCTGGTCTATTGAGGCTTTGCATCACCCACCCTTTTCCCCCCATTTCTAATTATCGCCTATATCGACTAGGAACCTTGACAGCCGCACTTGAGAATTAGCTAGCTATTGGTTTAGAATATTAGCTAGCTATTCAATTGTGATGACCAGAACCAGTTACATACATTTAAAAGTACATTACTTTACTGCTTGAAAGTATGTTAGCTCTTGGGATGTTCTTGGCCACACCAGGTGGATCCTTCGTTGGCCAGATAAAGGATGACGCATTTGAAGGAGCATTTCAAATTGGACAGCCTTTGACACGCCACTGTGATGTAATCAGTCTTCAAATGCACCCTTTGAAGCATGCAGCCCCTTAAATGGGATATGGAGAAAAATGTGCAGTTTCTGAACAAGGTCTTTGAATAGTAATAAATATTAATTTTGAGAAAATGTAATGAAATTACCAAATTTGATATCAAATATGCACCCTAAATACTTAATTTCCAGATCTTATATCTTTTCATTATTGAAATCCTTCCACACGGATTCTCTAACTCTCTCTCTTCTTCACTTGACTTTCCCTTTGTCTCAGACGGGCCACAGATTATTTGTCCGACAAAACTTCAGGTGAGACAAGGAGAGCGCCTCAGCTGCGAGGTGAAGGGAAACCCTAAACCATCAGTCACCTGGTTCAGAGACGGGCAGGTGTTTGCCTTGCCCAATCACTCAAGCAGACAGCATGATGGGCATTACACAGTCTCTGCAAAAGGACTAGGACAGAAAAACTTTACAGTAGAGGTGGAGGTCATACCTGATAGTGGTAAGTTATTAACAATATTTTAATGAACAAATACAATTCAGTGAGAGACTCAGATTAGATTTAGACACAAATGTTTTCATATTGAAAAAGAGTTACTAATGTTTAGACTTTTAATTAAGTTCTCATTTCTGAATTGATAAGACATCTTGTTTTGTTATTTTTTGATAAGGTCATGGATGTTCAAAAGACTAAATGAGTACAGAAATAAACTAATAGAATGCTAATCTGTTTGGGTTTGATTTGTCTTTTCCTCTTTCCAGGAACTGCCAAGAGCTGTAACAGACTTTTCCTATTGGCCATCCTGCTTCTTCAGACAATTATCTGGCAGTAACACCTAAAAGAACCCGACATGATGCATCTTCTCATGCTGTATTGATTTAAGGTTCCTGCAGTGAAAATTGTTTCTCTTCTCTTGATCAAATGAATCTTTATTTTTCTTTTGGTGTGTATAGTCCTTGATTTTTTAACACAAAACACTAAAAGCAGATAAATATCCCTTTGTAGATCTTGAGCTTCTGCCTGCAGGAACATCTCATGTTATTTGACTGAACTGTCCATTTATTCTTCACAACAGCTGCTGTACAACTTTAAAATAATTGTTTTGTAAATATTAATGATCAACAATCGGTTATATTTCTGTAAGCATAGCGTTCTTCTCTCTTTCCTGTTTCTTTTAAGAGGATGTTTGGACTGTTGAACCCTCTGCAAAACAATCTTAGTCTCTCTCCGCTGTACTGTAGATGCGTTTAAATTTTTTTTAGTTTGAAGAAAAGTTCTGCGAGTTTACTTTAGAACCAGCTCCTCTTTCACTAAAGGTTAGGTTATGTCTGCTGTAAATTCAAATGCTGAACTATATCATCTCTCAAAGCAGTACTTTCTTGCTTTAAGCTTGAACTGCCATGCTTGCACAAATATCAAATAAAGTCCAAATGAAACATAGTAAAACATTTCTGAAACAATTATGCCTTAGTTTCACAGAATAAAGGTAGATCAAATCTTTTTTAATACCCTTTGGTTGTGCATAACCTTTAAAAGAAAACAACAACGTTGGATGTAGAGCATCATGTAAAGACAGTTGAGCTCAAAACAATGGCTACACAACATGTAAGCTCTTTATTATTTATTAATTAAGTAAATCATAAACACTTCAAACCGTGCCATTTGAAAACAGCCATTTTGACAAGTACATTATATAAGATGTTGAGTTTCTGAACTGGGTTAAGGTTTGGTAGGCTGTTAGTGTATTCCTATGCTCATAAGTTAAAGGGCCATTTCTCTTTTCATGGGTCAACACAACTGGTGTTTCTTCTATCTCAGATGACCAATTCATCCAAAAACAATAACAATGACAAAAAACACATGACAACACATTCAGCGGAGACCACTGCTTGTGGTTAAAGACAAAACATTAAGATTTGTATTATCTCATCAACTATTACTGGATATTCAAAGTAAATAAATTAACTGTCAACATTGTTATCATCCCAGTGTGTTAGAATCCCATCAGCTGCGCAGTCGATGTTAAAGAAACAGATCTCCATCTGGAAAGAAAAAAAATGGCAACAAGATTTCTAACCAATGTAAGAAATATAAGAATTACAACTTATATTGTGTTTTTTTTGCACTGAGATTGTGGCGTTTGAAATATGCACATCTTTTAATGGGTATGTACAGACTTAAAATAAGATGCCTTTTGTTACATTATAGAAAATCTAGGTTTTTGCCTTATCCATGGTTGTACCTAAAAGTCACTAATTATTAAGATTGACTGGGGCGCAGATGGCTTAGCAGTTAGTACCCTATGTACGGAGACTATGGTCCTCAAAGCTGGTGGCCCGGGTTCAAGTCTGTGGCTCCTTTCCTGCATGTCATTCCCCCCTAGGCTGACTTTCCTATGGCTGTATTATTAGATTAGAATCCCAAATTTTGAGAACATTACTAAACACAAGAAAAACAAATAAAAAATAAAATGAAACTTTTTTTTAATAAAATGTAATAATTGCTGTCAATGAGGCACTTTTGATAAATTCTTGCTTGCAATGGAAGTTAAATAATTAAGACAACTCCTATGACACCACACTGGTTCACTACATTCTTTTTGATTTGATGGAGAAACGTCTAGCTTCAAAACAGTTCAGTGTGTTTAGAAAAAGATACATCAACTTACTGGGTATAAGCTTGGATTAGAGTTCATTGTTGTCGGAATCATCAGAGATGATCAGAACCTCACCAGCATCCACGTACCGGCTGAGGTCTCCCATCTGCAGCTTCTGGGGCATAACAACGGGGCTGGGGTGGGGAGGCGGAGGAGGAAGAGGAGGCGTCTTGGTGTCAAACTGAAGGCTCCAGTGTCCACCTGAATTCTTGTATTTTGCAACAGCTGCTGCCAGGAGCTCCTGGGACACAGACAGAGGCTGCTCCCGAGCCAATGCCTGATCAGCCAGGAGATCCAGTAGTGATGGAGTCGGAGTAGATGTGGGGATGACCGGGGTTCCTTCTGACTCTGTAGGTGTAGAGGAGCCGGAATCCACTGCCACCACTTCTTCTGTCTTAGCCTCCAAATTTTTCAAGGCAGAAACTACCTTCTTCACACCACCCAGTGATCTAAAAGTGGAGATATTGGGGTTCACTATGAAGACAATGTCTGGTTCTTCGGGGAGTGTTCCTCGGAGAATGCTGCAGCTATCAGATGTGGAAGGAGGTTTACAGATAGACTGCTGCTGCTTCTTCTGAGGCTTCGCCCTCTTTACTCTGTGCACATGGAGTGAAATTGTAATAAGATATGTAATTAACTCTGTTGAAGCATTAGGAAATGAATTCTTAATAACAGAAGTAAAGGTAGAGCTTTACGCACGGTAATGACATAGAGAGGCCTAAAATCTTCCTGCTCTCCTTTATCAGCACCCTAGAGACACATAGAGATGTCTCATGTAGAATCAGGTAAAACAGTACTTCTAAAAAGTAAATACAGTGTAGATACATATTTTCCCCTCATAACTGAGGGTATTTTTTTGCACTATTTGCAAGATACCTGGATTGCATCCATCCTTTTGGCCAAAGTGGTTTCACCTCACTGTCTAACATGGTCTTAAGGTACTCCTCCATCTCCTGGCTCCCTTTGTATCCCCCCATTTTCACCCTTAGCACATGATAGAAGCACTCCCTGTATGAGAGAAAATTTAATTATTTTCACACACTTTTTTTTTTGGAACAGGTACATTTATTTCCTCTTTGAATTGGGATACCAATTTGTATAATCAGGTGCTACTTGTAAAAGCTCACCTGATCTCTTCACTCCATTTGAACAACTTCTTTGGACCTCCTCTTTTCCCACTTTTCTCCTCTACATTGTCCTCTGGTCCAACATTCACCTTCTGTTTGCCATCTTTCTCCTCTTCTGCTGCCCTGACATGAATAAGCAGCTCATGATGAGAAAGAGGGAAATATACATGCAGTGAACCAGAACCCTCCTCGAAAAAGACAAGGACAGTTTGTGTCTTCAATGAAAAAAGGCAAAAAAAAATAACAGTTTCTGATGACAGATGTTGTGTCAACAAAAAGTTACAGTAGAAGATTTGATTATTTGAGTGAGTGTTCCTTTATGAACCGACTCCACCAGAGGAACAAACAGATGGAGTAACATAGTCCATGTTCGATGCAACTGTGATCCTCTGTTGGTTCATTTTACCCACATGTTTGGATTTGGAATTGACAGTCAGAAAATGATGTTTAGAGATGTCTTGCTTAAACTCAAACAGAACAAAGAATAAACTTGATATTTAAATCAAATTATTTTGGGGAAAAGCGACTGAGTCAGCAGGATTTGTCAGTTGCAGGTGTAAAACAAAATTCAAAAAGGATATTGTTTAGAGTCCTGTCCTCACAATGCTGTTATTTTCATTTAGCAAAACAACAACAATATAGACCAAGGGCGAGGTCTCTGCAGATACAGACACCACTACACTTCTACTGCTTCATGAGGGATGACTTAAGAGGGATTGTTTTACTTTGAGTCTACACATTGTTCCTTAGGTAAATCTGACTTATTCAGCCATTAAGTAATACGATAACACACTACTTTAACAACACCACTTAAAACCTTGAAAAAAAAATAAAAATGATTAACTCACTTTGAAGCCTTGACTTGTTCATATGCTTGGCAGTTTTCGAAGAAACATGCAATCTGCTCGGGCATAGCTTTGCCGATCGCCTCCTTTAGTTTGTGCACAGGGTCCTGCACATCAGGTGGTTTCTTCTTGTTCGAGTGAGTAACAAGAAGTTAGTCACTTTGAAATGTATAACTTGAACAACAAATACTGCCTGTTAGAACTCGAACCATAAAACCCACTCACTGTGTGTGAGAGTAACAGTTTCTTCACACGTTTGAGAAGTGTGTCTCTGCTGCAGGGCAGGAAGGATGACAGGAGTGTGTACACTTTAGAGCGGAGCTGGCCACCATGTTCCCGACACTGCAGCTCAATACTGGAACAAGACAGCAAGGGAGCTTAACTACATCTTCATGCTGTGGTTAAAATCCCCACAAAAACCAGTAACAGAGCTCTACGATTAAAAGCCAGCTTTAAACTCAAGTTTGTTGTGCCTCAAGTATTCACACAATTCATTCACGTAAAATTGAAAAAAGTGTTAACTGAAAAATTCCACACAATACCTTTTATAAGTAACTGACCAAAATCAGAACAACAAATGCTTGTTTGAAAGTGCAATATGCAACATTCTAGACCAGCCATGTGAAGTATAAATGGGTATACAGAGGTCTTCCTGTGCCTTACTGGCTTGAGACAATAGGTATTGAAATTCAAAAAAAGTCTTGAATATTTGCTTTTTCTGTGTTGTTGGATAACTCACTCGAGCAGGACTGAGTTGATTTCTGGAGTGAAGAACTTGAGTTTTGACTCCCCCTCAGAGCTCTTGCAGCCTGAAAAAGACTGTACATGTTATCATAGCACTCATCTTGCTCTCTTCCACTTCTCACAAAGGACATCTTAAAGTAGCTTGCACACAACCACACACTCTTTAGAAAAGCAACCTTACCACCATCAGTTTTTGAATGCTGTCTTCCAGTCCCACAGGGAGTCCCTCTGGCATCTGGACACACTGAGCTGAGATGGAACTGGTCTGTGACGGAGCAGGATTTGTTCTGAATGAGGCTGAGAGTTCATCTTTGTATGAGATTGGCCTTCACTTTGAGCAGCATCAGACTGAGTGGGGTTGTCAACTTTTGGTTGGTGAAGTTGCGTCTCCGTTGCAGATTGAGGAAACGCTTTCGCTGATGAAGAGTCATCGCTGACTTCTAGTAAAGAGTCCAGATCAATGTCAAAATCCACTGTGTTTGCTGCCTGGATCAGAGTGTGGTCATTGGTTGATCCAATTAAACTGAGAAGGGGGTCAGTCAGTCCAGAACCTCCACCTCCCCCTGCATCTGCCGGACATGGAGGGATTGTGGGTGCTCCCATGATGAAGACTGCCCTCTGATTTACTTTCCCCATCTTCTGACGTTCCTTCTCCTTCTCCCTTTGAAACTTTTTCAACATGCTGGTGACGCTTAAAGTGCCAGCTGCCTTTTTCTTCTTTTTCTTCATCTCATCTTGTAGTCCAGTTTCAGACAAAGTGCTACAAGGTTAGCACATCACACTTGTCAGAATTATTTTGCTAATCAAATTTCTTCACATCAGTGTCAAACTGGCTCTAAACATGAGATGAAATTGCTTTATGTCAGACTAACCTTGTCATCAGATCCACATCGTTTTGAATTTCTCCATCTTCTCTGCACGCCTTCTTCTTTGGTCTGTCTTTATCAACATTTAGTTTACGTTTCTAAAAATGTGTATTTGAAAGTGTTAAGTCTTTTCATATACAGTTTAAAAGTCTAAAATGCTCAAAACATTCAAAAAACAAGAGGGGAAGATTTCCTCTTGATCTCATATCTGTTTTCTGAGATTGTTTAAAACATCCATAGCAACACCTGGTGCTCTTACTTT